TCCTTCTTGATTAGTTTCTTTAAGTGTACACATTTTAGTATGTTTATCCTATATTATATGTCTGATATCCACTTATGAGTGAGGATATACCCTGTGTGTCTTTCTGCTTCTGAGATACCTCACTCAGGATGATCTTTTCCAGTTCCCACCATGCCTGCAAATTTCATGATTTCCTTGTTTTTAATTGCTGAGTAGTATTTCATTGTGTAAATGTACCACAATTTCTGTATCTATTCCTCAACTGAGGGGCTTCTGGGCTGTTTCCAGCTTCTGGCTATTACAAATAAACTGCTACAAACATAGTTGAGCAAATGTTCTTGTATGCTTGAGCATCTTTTGGCTATATGCCTAAGAGTGGTATAGCTGGGCCTTGAGGAAGCGCTATTTCTAATTGTGAGAAAGTGCCAGATTGATTTCCAAAGTAGTTGGACAACTTTACATTTCCACCAGCAATGGAGGAGGGTTCCCCTTTCTCCATATCCTTTCCTGCATGTGTTGTCACTTGAGTTTTTGATCTTAGCCATTCTGATGGGTATAAAGTGAAATCTCAGGGTAGTTTTGATTTGCGTTTCCCTGATGACTAAGGATGTTGAGTGTTTCTTTAAGTGTTTCTCTGCTATTCAATATTCTATTGAGAATTCTCTGTTTAGCTCTGTACCCCATAAATACCTTCAGCAAAGTGGCTGGATACAAAATTAACTCAAAAAAATCAGTAGCCCTCCCGTATACAGAAGACAAAAGGGCTGAGAAAGAAATTAGGGAAACAACACCCTTCACAATAGCCACAAAGGACATAAAGTACCTTGGTGTCACTCTAACCAAGCAAGTCAAAGACTTGTATGAAAAAAAATTTCAGTCTCTGAAGAAAGAAATAAAAGAAGATATCAGAAGATGGAAAGACCTCCCATGCCCATGACTTGGCAGGATTAACATAATAAAAATGGCCATCTCACCAAAAGCAATCTACAGATTCAATGTAATGTCCATCAAATTACCAATACAATTCTTTATAGACTTTGAAAGAAAAATTCTCAACTTCGTATGGAATAACAAGAAACCCAGAATCACTAAAACAATCCTCTCCAATAAAAGATCTTCTGGAGGATATCTCCATCCCTGATCTCAAGCTGTATTACAAAGCAACAATACTAAAAACTGCATGTTACTGGCATAGAAACAGACTAGTGGATCAATGGAATCGAATAGAAGACCCAGATATAAGCCCACACACTTTTAGACACCTGATCTTTGACAAAGATGCAAAAACCATACAATGGAAAAAAGATAGCATCTTCAACAAATGGTGTTAGTCTAACTGGATGTCTACATGTAGAAAAATGCAAATAGATCCATACTTATCACCCTGCACAAAACTAAAATCCAAGTGGATCAAAGACCTCAAACTAAAACCAGACACACTATCCCTGTTACAAGAAAAAGTGGGGAAGAGCCTTGAAACTCATTGGCACAGGAGACAACTTCCTGAGCAGAACACCAACAGCACAGGCTCTAAGATCAATAATAAATGGGACCTCATGAAACTGAAAAGCTTCTGTAAAGCAAAGGACACTGTTGTCAGAACAAAGCAACTGCCTACAAAATTGGGAAAGGATCTTTACCAACTGTATATCTGACAGAGGGCTAATATCCAGAATAAAGAATAAAAGAAGTAATTTTTGCTATCAAGTATTTTGATAAATTTGTTTTTGGGGGGATAAAAGTCATATTGGCCATGGCTAAGAGATGGCAGACATTTATCTTTATGTGTTTAGATCAATAAGGAATACACACTTGGGTGAACTTGTTTTAACTCACTCACTTGGGTGAGTTGTTTTAACTCTTGGCCATACACCATTCTGTGAGAGTGAAGGAAATGGTGAGCTGAATTACTGACATGGTAGAAGGTCCCTATGTTTGACAGAACTGAAACCAAGTTTATTGGTTTTGTCTGACTGGTGGAATCAAATAATTTATTTCTTTAATGTTTTCTTCATTTTCAGTTAATATTCACATGGACTCCATGCCATGATAGTTTCGATTTCTAGTACTAGTATTCAGAATAATAGACTCTACTTGTCATATTCTGAGTGGTAGAAGAGGGACTCAGAAGATAATTATACAGACTTTTTAGTTTAGCTATCTATTTTTTTTTCAAACAAATAAGCATGATTTTTCTAAGCTACTCCATTGAAGACTAAATAGTAGTAAGCACTTGGAATGCTCCAGAACTTATCATCAAAACATTTAACCTAACACAAGTTTAGCATACAATAGAGTAAATTTGCTTCATGGCACAGAACACACATTTAAAATGGTAAAAAAAAAAAAAGATTTTTATTCTGTTTATTTTGCTACAGTAAAAGGGAATAAAAATAAAATTATGAAAATCTGAAGAAAATCACAGAAAAAAGCATAGCAATCAAGTAGATAAGAAAATTGTCAGGCATCATAATAAGAGGATGGAAGAAGAAGCAACAGCATTTTATGACATGCTTCTTTTGTCTGAAGCAGGGTTTCAGTGTCTCCTCAGTTTTGGAGCCCTTGCTCTTCCTTTGCTCCCAAAGAGCTGAGACCGTGTCACCCAGCAGCATACTGGCTGACTGTGAGATTTTAAATAAGTACTTGTTGATTTTTTTTGGATAATTCCTTTTTAGATTTTTTTAAAAAAATATTTCCCCAAACAAATATGAAGCATTTTTTAAAATTTTATTTATATATTTATTTATTATAATTTATTCATTTTGCATCCTCTCTGCTGCCCCCTCCCTTATCACCTCCTAGTCCTACCCTCCCTTCCACTTCTTCCCTTATCCTCTTTTCCTAATCCCCTTATAGGGGAAGACCTCCTCCTCTTCTATCTGACCCTAGTTTATCAGGTCTCATCAAGGCTGGCTGCTTCATCTTCCATTGTGGCCTGGCATGGCTGCACCCCCCAGGGGGAGGTGATCAAAGAGCCAGCCACTGAGTTCATGTCAGAGATAGCCCCTGTACCTCTTATTAGGGAAAGCGCTTGGAAACTGAGCAGCCAATGGGCTTCCTTTGAGCAGAGGTTCCAAGTCCGCTCTATGCATGGTCCTTAGTTGGAGTATTGGTCTCTGCAGGACCTCTGGTCCCAGGTATTTTGGCTCTGTTGTTCTTATGGGATTCCTGTCTCTAGGTCTTTCTGTCTCCCTCTTCTTCCATAAAGTTTCCTGCACTCTGCCCAAAATTTGGCAATGAGTCTTAATATCGCCTCCGATACCCTGGTAGGTAGAGTCTTTCAGAGGTCTTCTTTGGAAGGTTCCTGTTCTGTTCCTTGTCTTCTACTTCCGATGTCCATCCTGTTTGCCCTTCTAAATGAGGATTAAGCATCATTGAGCTCAGTGTTAGAGCACTCACTTGCCTAGCAAGCCCAAGGCCCTGGGTTCAGTCCTCACCTGGGGGATGAGGGGTGGAGTAAAATGAATCATCTTTTACATTCAAGTTTGCTATAGTTTATTGCAGGGGTTGTCTAATGCTGCGGGAACCACCGGAGGGAGCTCTGGGAGCACATTTCAGTGTTTGTTTTGTTTTTAAGTGACAAAACAATTTTCTCAGTACAGCATTTCTGTTTCTCTTCAGAAATAGTATTCTGAAAATACCTGGACAATCTCTGAGGACGATCTTGGCAATTTTATTTCATAAATAATATGTGGCCATCTTAAACATCCTCTTCTTGGGCTAGCAGAGTCACTCAACAGGTGAAGGAAGGTGCTTATAACAAACGTCTGGCAACCTGAGTAATTGCTACAACCAACATACGGGGGTGGGGGAGAACCAACTCCACAGTGTCATCCTTTGGCCTCCACATGCTCATGATACACATGAGCCCACATACATTATATACACACACAATAATAATGGATAACTTTTAAAACAAAGAAAGAAACCTTTATGTTATCATGGAATCTGTTTAAAAGCTAGTCATTTATACCACAAAGCTCTTATTAATCCTCTTTTTTTGTCCTTCAGTGTCTCAGGGTGTCCTTGAACTTATTATCTCCTGAAAGTTAAGATCGTAGATATATACCACTAGTTTAGCAACAGTAATGCTATTCAGCCATTTGATTTTTGTGGTGCACAAATTTTGAAGCTGGTGCTAATAGCTACGTAGACTTAAGATGTGGAATGTGTCAAAATAGAGAACAATTTGTGTTTGTTTTTTGAAACAGGGTTTCTCTGTGTTTAGCCCTGGCTGCCTGGAACTCCCTTTGTAGACCAGGCTGGTCTCAGACTCACAGAGATCTGCCTGCCTCTGCCTCCCAAGGGCTAGGATCAAAGGTATGTGCCACCATGCCCATCTGATAAAGAATAATTTAGTGAGAATATGTACTAAAAATAAAATGTCATTTTATCCATATGCTATTAACATATGCCCTAAAAGAAAACACTGATAGTTCCTGAATTTATAGTTACAAAGTGGCTGCTAGAGGAGAGAGTCACTTTTCTTTGGGTGAGTGTCCTAATATGTTGCTGGTGCTTCCTTGGATAGCTTCACACCTATGTGCATATGGGCAGTTGTACTCAGTCATAACAACAAAAAGGACAGGAAATTGAGAGAGCTGTGTATGCTGAAGGGGACCCAGGAGGAGTTGGTAGAGAGAGTTGGGGAGGAATGTAGATGATTTAAAACCATGTTTGGGGGGTGATGATGAAAAAAGTGTTGGAGGTGAGAATTGGGAAGTACACATGATCAAAATATACTGTCTACATATATGTCATTTTCATTAAATAAAAGTATTTTTAAATAATGTGTGTGAAGACAAAGCTAGTTGATGATAAGGAACTCCTTTCCATGATTTTGAGTGTCATGTTCCACTTTGTTTAGTAAAAAAGCCTATCAAAGGGTAGTACAGTAAATTTTAAGAGTTATGACCCTGTTGGCTTTATCTTTTCTTACTTTAAACTTACACAAGTTTGTAATTTCCAACTGAGTGTCTTAAAATCTTTGTCTAATTTGTAGCTTTATTTTTTTTTTCCAGAAACAGCAAATTCCAGTGAAGAAAATGAATTCTGGAGAAGAAAGGAAGAAAATGTTTGCGGTATGAAGACATATATCTGTTTATTTTAAAGCTTTACAAAACAGTTCTTAAGACAACAGCAAAACCCATTAACATTACAGAACAATGGTTCTCAGCCTTCTTAATGCTGCTGCCCTTTAATACAGTTCTTCATGCTGTGGTGACCCCAACTATATAATTATTTTCATTGCTACTTTATTACTGTAATTTTGCTACTGTTATGAAGTATAATATAAATATCTGATAGGCAGATGATCTTAGGTGACCCCTTTAAAGGGTCATTTGTCCCCAAAGCGGTCATGACCCACAGGTTGAAAACTACTTGTTGTAGGGTCTCTAAACCTTTTCACTTTTTTTTTTCTGTTTTTGTTTTTCAAACAAATAGAATATCTTTGCTTTGTTCATTTCACCTTTCCTTACCTCTGGGTTTGCCTTTCTTATTGATACATTTTTCTTAACAAAAATATAAAAAGAAATTATTGATAGAGCCAGCCTGTCGTGGCATATACCTTTAATTCCAGCACTTGGAAGGCAGAGGCAGGCAGATCTCTGAGTTGAAGGCCAGCTGGTCTACAGAGTGGGTTCCAGGACAGCCAGGCTACATAGAGAAATGCTGTCTCGGGGGGGGGGGGGGGAATAAATATATATATATATATATATATTGATAGAAGTGTTCTCTTTTTGTTTAAGGAAGCAGCAAAAAAAAGAAGGTTGGAATATATTGAGAAAGAAAAGAAGCAAAGGGAGCAGGTAGTTGTTTGCTCTTGTGTCTTTCCCTTTGCCTCGCTGATGACTAGAACTGGGTTCTGAGAATATGTCTGAAACTCTTACAGATTAATCTCATGAAGGCAGAACAATTGAAGAGGCAAGAGAAGCAGCAGGTAAGAGGAGCCTCCATCTCCACAGTACAGGTCTCCCTGCCCCACACATGAATTTTTTTTAAGGAAGTACATTTTAAGTTTATTGCTAAATGTATTCTGTATGTTTTATATTAAGTAGTTGAATGGTATTTTGTTTATTTTTCTTTCCCCAAAAGTTGGAGAGAATAAATAGGGCCAGGGAACAAGGATGGAGGAATGTTTTAAGGGCTGGTGGAAGCGGTGAAGTAAAGGTAGGCATTTGATACCAGTAGAACTAAATGCCTGTTTGTCTCCAGTTTCATCTTGTTCTTTAAGATGTGTATTACCAGCTACTTTCTTTTCTTGGTATACTGATAATGTTTATCTAGAAGCCTGTAGCATTTATTATGCTTTATTCCTTGCCTGTATATAGTTAATGTATAATATAATAATAATAAATTAACTAATGTATGACATAAAACTTTCATGCTCTTTAGAATTTTTCACATAACCTTGAAAATTAAGTTCTCAGAAGATTTTCTGAATTGGCCATTGCCAGACTTTCCAGGATAACTACCCCTCTCAACTCGTGCCATGCTCTTCCTGCCATACTTACGCTGAACAGCAGAATTTACATCCTAGGTATCTATAGCCTGCTGATTTTCATGTCTTTATGCTGGTGCATTTTCTACTTCCTAGCTACTTTGCTATGTTTTTTTTCCACTCTGCCTTCATTCATTTACCTAGATAACCAACTGCCCCATAGCCATTCACCTAGATTCTTTAATTCACACATTCCCTAGGGCATATCTGACTCTGTAACCTTGGGCAAGTTAACTTCCTGACTTTATCTTCAATGTCTACAGCTTCTCTACTAGGACTCAGATAGAAATGTCTTCACTCATCTCTTTGTTTCTTCTACTTACCCTTTGTTTTCAAAAGTACCAGCCTGTACTCATACTGGTAAGCTTAATCCTAAAACAGGGTTCCCTCTCCCTAGTGTATGTACTTGAGTTTTAAGTAGAACTTGGTGATGGTAGCTCCTTTGATTAGATTATGTTATGTGATAAATGGGCACTCCCATGGTTACACTGATAGAGCAGACACCTTCATAGTACATGGGAAGGGGAAAGAAATATAAGGAAATCTGCCTCCTCTAACTGGAAGGCAGCCAACATGGATGTGGGAAGAAATTATGGATGATTCTGGATTATTACAGTGATCTCTAGCCAGTAACTAAGGAGTAAGTGCCCTTAGGAAACCAAGAGAAATGAACTGCCTAGAGCCAGTGAGCATCAGATAAGAATGTAACCCTGGTTGACAGCTAAATATACTTACTAAATTATATACCCACCTAAATCATGTACCTACTAGATCATGTAGTCACCTGAATCAGGTAATTGGAAAATAAGTAATACTCTTTTAAGCTTCTTGATTTGTGATAATTTTTTGCACAGCAATAGGAAATGAATGCCCCTTTCCTTTGTATTATCATTTTTATTTTGACAGTGAGCCAGCTGTCACTCAGTTTGCAGTTAAATTGCCAATCCACCTGTGTGTTGCTCCCATTAGCCTACCTGTGTTGAAATAGACAAAAAGTTATCAAAATGGTTTGCTTGCCATCTCATTTCTTCTCTCAAGATTATTATGTAGAAAAAAAATTGTTGTTTCACCTAGATTTTATATATATATATATATATATATATATATATATATATACACACACACATACATACTATCTTTAATTTGTGCTGTTTTTCTGTCTTTGGAGGTCACATCGTATATCGATAATTCAGAATCTTTTTTCATAAGTCAGTTCTAAGACATAATATTTTAAGTTCTTCATTTTTATATTAGTAGCACCTATAATGCTACTGGTCAATTAGAAATAACTCAGAATTTGGGATATGGTTTTGTTTTGTATTTATATCTGTGATGTGCATGTGGAGGTAAGTTTGTAGGTGAATAAAAGAGGGGTCAGATCTCCTGGAGCTGGAGTTAGAAGTGGCTCCGAGAGGCTTGGTGTGGTTGCTGTGAGCCACCTCTCACCCCACTGCACCATCTCCCCATCCCCTTATACTGCATATTGGGAGGATGTATAAGAAGCCCTCTGCAAAGGGGTTTCCCATTTAAATATCTTTCTGGTTTCTACAAACTTTAATCTTGTCATTTGAATATCTTTTTTTTTTGTTTTTGTTTATTTGATTGATTTTTTTGTTTTTGTTTTTTTTTTTTTTTTGAGACAAGGATAAGCCTTGGCTGTTTTGGAACTTGCTCTGTAAACCAGGCTGGCCTCAAACTCACAGAAATCCACCTGCCTCTACCTCTGCCTCTGCCTCTCAAGTGCTGGCATTAATCAGCTTGAATTGATTTTAAAGTAGATTTTCTCATAAATTTTTAAATATAGTATCAATATGTTAAGACAAATATAATTTCATTGGTCTTTCCAGAAGTTTCTTTTATTTGATTCTAATATTACTTTTGTTCTGTTTTGTTTTGAGGGATGGATGTTTGGAGAAATGGTTTCTCTGAGTAGCTCTGTCTAGCCTAGAACTCACTTTGTAGACCAGGCTGGTTTCAAACTCAAAGATCCGCCTGCCTCAGCCTATGAGCACTGGGATTAAAGGCATGTGCCAATACCACCTAGTTGTTCTAATATTAGTTCTTTTAAAAGGCAACCATTTAACTTATTCATATAGCTCTTAATTTCAGTACTGTGGAACTCTGCATTTGAGGTCACTGATTTTCTCTCTTCTGTGAACTTTTTTTATGATTAATTTTATTTTTTTCTTTATTAATTACACTTTATTCACTTTGTATCCCTCCTGTGGTTCTCTCCCTCCTCCCCTCCCAACCCTTCCCTTCCTCCACCCTCTGAATGCATGCCCCTCCCCAAGTCGACTGAGAGGGGAGGACTTCTTTTCCTTCCTTCTGATCCTAGTCAATTAGGTCTCATCAGGAGTGGCTGCATTGTTCTGTGGCCTGGTAAGGCTGCTTCCCCCTCAGGGGGAGGTAATTAAAGAGCAGGCCAATCAGTTCATGTCAGAGACAGTCCCTTTTCCTATTACAATGGAACCCACTTGGATACTGAATTGCCATGGGCTACATCTTTGCAGGGGTCTTAGGTTATCTCCATGCATAGTCCTTGGTTGGAATATCAGTCTCAGGAAAGACCCCTATGATCAGATTTTTTGGTTCTGTTGCTCTCCTTGTGGAGTTCCTGCCCTCTCCAGATCTTACTGTTTCCCACTTCTTTCATAAGATTCCCTGCACTCTGTCCAAAGGTTGCCCATAAGTCTCAGCATCTACATTGATAGACTGCAGGGCAGAGCTTTTCAGAGGTCCTCTGTGTCAGGCTCCTGACTTGTTCACTCTTTTCTCCTTCAGATGTCCATCCTCTTTGCCTTTCTGGATAGGAATTGAGCATTTTAGCAAGAGTCCTCTCACTTGAGTAGTGTCTTTAGGTTTACAGATTTTAGTAGGTTTATCCTATATTATAGGTCTATATGAGTGAGTATATACTGTGTGCATCTTTCTGCTTCTGGGATACCTCACTCAGGATGATCTTTCCAGATCCCATTCTGTGAACTTCTTCCACCTCATTTTATAACATTACCCTCTTCTCTTACATTTATTTCTTAACCATTTCTGACAGCTCTCTTCACTAGTTCTGTTGGGAGTCCTTAGGTTTGTACTTTTATTATTTGGTCATTTCTGCAGAAAATGTCAGTCTATTCAGCATTTATCTTTTCACTGACATTTACCTTTCATTTCTTATAGTTTTCACTAACCAGTTTTTCTGCTTTTGTCTCATTTCTGCTATGTGTGTACTATTCATTGAATGATCTTAAAATGCTTCAGTACAGTGGAAAGTTTAGAAATGCCTTCTGTTTATGAATGCATTCTTCCCAAGCCCAGTAGCCTTTAGTTGTAACACCTTTCTTTTTCAGTGTTTAATGCTCTGCTTAGCTTTTTTGTAATTGTGTTTGTGACCATATTTCCTTCCTCCCCCTATTGCAGCACACACTCAAAATATAAATTTATTTCAGTTACCTTGACTTTTATTGTCTGCTTGTTTTCTTTGTTTGTTTTTAAACATTGTTATCAAGACTAGGTTACACAGTATCTTTCTCCAAGACTTTAAAATATGTATTTTACCAATGGCCATTTTTTTTCTGTTTTGTGAATCTCCTCCTTACTCTTCAACATATACCTACTTCATTCATTTATTTATATGTTGTATGACTAGAATGCTGTTTTGCTTTTGTGCTTTTTTACTACTTGTTTGAAAAGATATTAAGAGTAGATATGTTTTTCCTCTTCTTTATGTATATAAAATATATATAAGTCATGTATTTACCTTCATATGTACTTGGTGAATATATTTGAGTGTATCAAAAGGCACATGCAATGTTTTGTTAAGTAAGATTTTAACTGTGATGTAATCAAATCCTACTTGACTTCAAAACCACACATATTTAAACTTCATAGAACTGAATCATATGAAATATAGGATATAAACATCTTTCAAAAGTTTTGTAAGTATGATTAGATTTTTTTTTCCCTGTTTATAATGAATTTAGTGATAGCTTTATGTTTTTGTTTGTCTCATGATGTTATTCTTTACTGTTAGAGGCCAAGAATACTACTCTCTGATTGCTTATATAGGAAAACGTTTTATTTTGGTCATGTGTTTATTAGTGTGTTAAAACTAGCTAACTGCTATTTTTAAGTTAAGCATGAAACTGACTTTTTATTTTAAGGATGGCTCAAGCCTCGTAGGTCCTGTAAGATAAACATGGCATGTGAGAGCTCTTTGTTTAATCCCCAGGCTCCCTTTTTTGGCAGTGGAGGGCCTGTCTCTCCATCTTGTTCCTCTCGAGGGCAGTATGAACATTACCATGCCATTTTTAATCAAATGCAGCAACTAAGAGCAGAAGATAATGAAGCAAGATGGCAAAGAGAAATATATGGTCGACGGCTTCCAGAAAGGTATGGCTTTGTTCTGCTGAAGTTGCTTGTGCCTTGCTTTGAAAAGGTAATGAAAGTCACTGTGACTATTTATCTACAGAGGAGTTCCACCTAGAGCTCGTCTAGGATTTCCCAGTAGGGTTACAGGTCACCACCATTTCCCTGATACTGATGCTATTAGAAAAACTTTGAAAAGATTGAAGGTGGTTGTACAAGGCAGTACAAACAGGTTGGAATGTGATGATCCATACATTCATCCTGTGTGTAGTTTTGTCATTTGTCATATCTACACTTCCAGATTTTTTTTTTTTTCCCAATGTTTGCCCAGGCAGTGCTTTGGTCTCTGCATATAATAAATTTTCAGGTACAAATTTGACCCTTTATTGCATTATGACAGATGTGTAGCTCTTCAATTCAGCCTAATTATCATGGCTGATTTTAATGTTTAGACAGAACATACTGTTTAAAGGATCACGTGATTACTTTGTGCCAACATATGGTTGTAATGATTTCATCCACTTGATTTGAATAAATCATAACATAAACTTAAATAGGATCACACTTTTCATAAAACTCCAAAGCACATTTATTTGTTGTCTTTTTTTCTCATTCCTACTTTTCTCTTTGTTGTCCTAAAGTGTTTTCTCTTCAGGTTCATCTCTTATTTATGTCCCTTTTTGATCTTTTTCATCAAATTTTTTCCACTGAATTAACTTGATAATAATTGACAATAGTTGTACTTTGTGTAGTCTTTTTAAGTGTGCATATGTGTTTGCTTAGACATTCCTGTTTTTTCTGTAAAACTTAATGGTGAGTTACAGAAGAGCAGGTAACTGGAAATCTTTTTCTTGTAATTTTAAAGTATTATAAAAATATTTGATTTGTTTTGTTACAATAATTAAAATATTTTGAGTATATTTTATAAAAATAATTGTATTAGAAGGGATATAGCTCAATTGTAGAGGGCTTGCCTACCATATGCAAGGCTCTATGTTCATTCTGTAGAACTGGGGGAAAGGTTGTCATAAAAATAAGTGTAAATTAACATGATTACACTATAAATTGTATGCTGAAGTGTGAAGCTAACTATAGATTTCTTTTTTTTTTCCTTTCTTTCTTCCTTTCTTCTTTCTTTCTTTCTTGGAGAAAAAAAAGACTATAAAGTCAAAGTACATGCATATTTTTGTTCAGTCAGTGTCAAAGAATATGTATATCTCTTTATATCTGTCTGTCTATCTAGCTATCTAGATATAATCTTTGCAGTGCCATGAATTGAACCCAGGGCTTCAACATGGTGGCTATCCTTGATGAAGCAAATTTTGTATGATGTTTTTATCCTACTTTACTGATCTTTGTAGTATATGTACTTTTTCACATTTTAAATTAATAGGCTTGACTTTTAAATAATTTTAGGTTTCTATTAGTAATGAGTAAAAGTTCAGAGTGTACTTTTTTCTACATATGTATGATACCCTTAACAGAATAATTTATTACATTCAAAACATCTACTTTGTTCATTACCATTTTAAGTCCATAGTTCTAATTTGGAATCACGCTTGGTAATGTATACATGCTGTAGGTTTTGACATGTGTATAATTGCATGTACCTGCTATTGTAATATCATACAAAATAGTGTCACAACTCCAAAATTTCTATTCTGCCTTTCCTCCTCCCTCTTATATAACCTTTGACAACCACTTGTTTTTCTGTCCATTGTTTCAGTTTTTGTAGATTTGAGTTTTGTTTAATCCTGCAGTATGTGACTTTTCTTTTAATATTGGCTCCTCTCACTTTACATTTTCATGACTTGATAGTTCATTTATTCTCAGCTTTCAATGATAAGCACAGTTTATTAATCTTTTGAGGACATCTTGATGGCTTACAAGTTATTGCAGTTATAAATACAGTTTTGTTAGAAACTAAAGGACCCCTCCAAACTTGCTGTCTCATTTTGCATTTCCACCACCAGTGAGTGAGTTCTGCTTTTCTGCATTTTCTCAAGCATTTAGCATCAGTGATTTGAATTGAGGCTATTTTGCTTGGTGTGTGATATCTCATTTTAATCTTAATTCCCATCCTTGCCATTTACATATCTATTTTGCTCAATTTTCTTTCACTTTTTTTTGGTTTGTTTGCTTGTTTGGGTTTTGTTTGTTTGTTTGTTTACACACAGTTTCTCTGGGTAGCCTTGGACCTGGCAGTATAGATGGATCTTGGAACTGGCAGTGTAGATCAGGCTGGCCTGGACCTCAGAGATCTACCTGCCTCTGAGGTTAAAATTAAGCATGTACTATTATGGCCCAATCTTTTGCCTGTTTTTCAACTGTGTAGTTATTTTTGTTGTTGTTGTTGAGATTTCAGTTTCTTGTAGTTTTTTATAATGTTTATTTATTAGTTATGCCTCCAACCACTGCAGACTGGAAATAAAACCCAGTGCCTCAGGCACAGTAGGCACTTTGCCATTGATTACATTCTCAGTCCAGATTTCATTCCTAAATACTATCTCCCAAATTATGGCTTGTGTTCTCATTTCTTTGATAATGTTTTTCAAAGAGACAGTTATCATTTTAACATAGTCCCTTTTTGGTGTTATTAGCAATAAAAAATCATTATTGACTTGCAAGATGATTCAGCAGGAAAAGGTACCTGTCCCCGAGCGTGCGAACCTGTGTTTGACCCCTAGGACTCAAATGCTAGAAAGAAACTGACTTCAGACAGATAGCCTCTGACCTCCACTCATGCCTGTTGTGTGTATGCACACACTCAAAAATGCATGCAAATCAATAAATAAATGCAATTCGTGTTTTTTCTGAGTTGTTATAATCATGCCGAAGTTCAGCTTATGTATTTTCCTCTGTTGTTTTCTATGAGTTTTATAGTTGTAGGTCTCTGATACATTGAGTTAAGCTTTTGTGAAGGTTGTAAGATTTGTATCTGGGTTTTGTTTTTGTTTTTGTTTTTGTTTTTGCATGTGGATATCCAGTTGAGCTAACTGGCTGGTCGTGGTGACACACAACTTTAATCTCAGTGTTTGGTGAATATAGGCTGGTGAATCTCTGAATGTGAGGCCAGGCTGGTCTAGCAACTTCAGGGCCAACCAGGGACATCATGTATCAAACAGACAAATAAACAAAACTAATACATTATGCTAACTTTTGGTTTATGAAATTGTGGAGTTCTATTACAAGTTTTCTTCTAATTTTTTTCTAAATGAATATTTAATTTTGTCGATACTTTTTTTTAAATAGTTTTTTGAGACAGGGTTTCTCTGTGTAGCCCTGACTGTACTAGAACTCACTTTGTAGACCAGGCTGCCTTCAAGCTCACAGAAATCCACCTGCCTCTGCCTCCTGACTGCTGGGATTAAAGATGTGCACCATCATACCTGGTTTTATAGATACTTTTAAACATTTATCACTACACTCTTTACTTTTCTTATCTAGTTGCTTGATGTCATAACTTTTATATGCTGAATCAGCCTTATGTGCCGAAGATAAATTCTATTTTGTCTTTTTTATATTTGTTGGTTTTAATTCTCTTTTTTTTTTTTTTTGAAGATTTTTGTGTTTATATGTATGAATGATAGTGGTATGTAGTTTCTTTCTATGTCTTTACCTGGTTTTGGTACTAGGGTAGTACTGTGCTTCTTGAATGAGCTGAGAAGCATTACATCTTCTTCTCTTTTGACAAAGACATGGATACTTGCTTAAATTCTTCCTTACATATGTAGAACTCACTCTTGTGACCATTTGGGTCCTGGTGTGTGTGTGTCTAGGATAGGGTCTTAGTGTAGCCTTGGCTGGACTGGAATGCTCTAGACCAAGTTGGAGTCAACACAAAGACCCACCTGTTTCTGTGTCCCTCATGCTGGGATTGAAGTCGCGTGCCACCACTCCCAGCTAGGTCTTGACATGTTTTATTGTTTCAGCTCTTTTATTTTTCTCTCTCTTCTATGTTTTTATTGTACTTTTAGGTAGTATGCAAAGCAATAGGTTGCTTCAATTTCTTTACATATAAACTTGTTCAGATGTTTGTCTCTTGGCAGATGGATTTTTCCAGATTGTTTCTTCAAGAGATTGCTCTCTTATTTGTACTGTACTAAATTTGAGAGCATACAGTTGTTCCTAATACTTCTTTCCTATTTTAGTCTCAGGAACTATATCAATATGCCCTTTTTATATTAGATATTAATAATTTTGTGCTTCATTTCTTTTAGTCACCCTTGTTGGTGACCTACTGAATTATTTCATCCTTTCAAATAACCAGCTTTTGGGTTTACTGGGTTGTTTTGCTTTATTTTGATTTGTTTTCAATTTTATTGACTTTCTCTGTTTGTTTTGATCTTTTTTCTTTCAGTTTTGGAAATGTCTTTTAGTTTATCCCCAAGATTAGATATTCTTCTTTATCCTTGTCCAGTCCACTAATGAGCTCCTCTGAGGCATTCTGCACTTTCACTATAGTCTGTTTGGATTCAGACAGTTTTTTTTTTGTTTGTTTGTTTGCTTGTTTGTTTTTCCCTCAGGATTTTTGGGTTTCTGCTTCTTGCATGTTATCTACTTTTCTATTAAGAATATGCTTCTAAGAGAGGCAAGGTGATGTGACAAGCTTTTCTTGTGTTTTTTTTTTTTTTTTTCATCTGTACCTTTCTTCTCCCTGTAATACTTTTGCTTCTATCTATGTTGAGCACCTAGAACCTAGTTATTATTATGGCCTTGGCATAGGTTGAATAACTTAGTAGTTCTGTAAAGGAGAAAATAAAAATTAAATGTGAAACATAATTAAGGATAATTTTGACATAGAAGCTGATTTAAAAAAAAACATACCCCAGCCTTTGAATACTATACTGTGAAAAAAAGTAGGATTATATATTTTTAGAATATAGATTATACTTTTGAGGGCTGAAGAGATACCTCAGTTGGTAAATACATGTTAGATAAACTACACTCATGTTAGTTATAGGCTTTATATCATAAATAACTTTTTAAACAGGAACACAGAGTTACACAATTATTAAAGTTACAAATTATTCTATTGACAAACGTGACAGGCTTACAGAATTTAACTCTGTGTCAGTGGCTAAGTATTCATCAGTTCAGTGTTAGTAGTGACCGTGTAGAACATAACTATCAATGATGATTGACGTATTAGTAACTCAGTCATCAACACTGTGAAGAAGATAGTAGTGTTTGTGCTATTTTACAGATCAAGAAATTGAGGCAACATATAACTCAGTTTTGTAACATCACATGACATATGTATTCATAAATCCAGAATTTAAAACTGAATTCTTTGTATTTTCTGGTACTCTCTTTATGGTGTTTTTTTTGTTTGTTTGTTTGTTTTTGTTTTTGTTTTTTTGCCTTCCTTACCAGTAACATTGGCTAGTATGACTGCGTGAATCTATGTCTTAATGACCTATCTGTTTATTAGCCTCTTACTGTTGGAACCTCAAACTGTACAGGTACTTTTTAAGAAGTGATTTGGTTTCCATTTGTGTTTTTTTTTTTTTTTGTTTTTGTTTTTTGTTTTTTTTTTTTTACTACTTTACTTTTCTGCATCCTCTCCTCTGTGTTCTGCTATATAGATATCCTTAAATAGAAAGGGAGCTTAATGAATACTCATCCTTTTTAGCCCTTTATCATTGGTCTGTTGTGCCTGAAAACATGGTGATTCATTTTCTCAACATTTTTTTTTGTTATCTAGACTATTGCCATTTTTATGGTTCTTTTTACCTCTTGAAGTATTTGTTATCATTCTTCAAATTTTTAAAAATTCCCCTCATAGTAATAACTTTGAGCCGTGAATATAGTGTGTGGTGTTCCCAGCATTTCTTCATATATTTACAAAAGAAAAAAATTATCCGCCTCTTCTTTGCTAAGGTAAATAACAAGGCTCATCTTAGAATAACTGTTTCTCAATAAAAGAACACCACAATTGTTCTCCTTCCCTGTCCTTCCCTAACAATAGGTGTGGTAATGTCCTTATTCCTTTTTTATCACAGTTCTTAACCCATTTTAATATCTTTGTATGCTATTATCCTTTTTTCTAATTTCCTACTATATATTTGTGGCTTGAATGCTTACAATAACAGCAGGACTAATTCTAAAGAGACACTGCGACCACAACAACTCTTATAAAGGAAAACATTTAATTGGGGCTTAACATTTTAGAGATTTAGGCCATTATCATGCTGGCAGTAAGCATGGGAGCATGCAGGCAGACATGGTGCTAGAGAAGTACTAGAGAGGTAGCTGAGAGTTCTAATTTCAGATCCACAGGCAGCAGGAAGAAAGAGCCACTGGGCCTGGCTTGGGCTTCTGAAACCTCAAAATCCACCCCCAGGGATACACTTCCTCCTAGGATACACTTCCGACTAGGCTATACCGTCTAATCCTTTTTAATACTGCCACTCCACTATGAACCTGTAGGGGCCATTTTTATTCAGACCATCACATAGTGTGGCTCTAAATAGCCCTGGATGCTCTGAAAACTCACTCTGTAAACCATGCTGGTTTCAGACTTACAGAGAACAGCCTGCCTCAGCTTCCTTCAAGAGCTGGGTTTAAAGCCATATACCACCACATATGGCCACTTCCTCTGAATTCTTGATAGAGTTTAATAAAGAGAATGAATAATGAGTAATTTATTTTCTCCATGTCCTCATGTGCTTTCTATAATAGTTTGTGCTCACAGTTTACTATTTCAAAGAATAGCATGAATAAGAATTTGAGCTCCAGTGCATAAGAATGTGGATTATAGGTTATTCAGGGCATATATGAAGTAGTAAGAGGAAGTACATATAGGAGATAGATGTAGTTTCTGGTGTTTTGACACAAGTCACAGAATTACTCAAACTCTCAATTGATTTTCATCAGTTAAACCTTGTTTCCTGGAATTTGGTTTAAGCGTTGTCATAGTTAGGGTTATTATTGCTATGATGGAGCACCATTACCAAAGCTTACACTTCCACATTATGGTTCATCATCAAAGGAATTAAGGACAGGAACTCAAACAGGGCAAAAACCTGGAGGCAGGAGCTGATGCAGTGGCCATGGAGGAGTATTGCTTACTCACTTGCTGCACATGGCTTGACCCAGCCTGTTTTTTTTTCCTAAGACTCTCTCTCTCTCTCTCTCTCTCTCTCTCTCTCTAAGTTTATACAATATTCTGTCTGCATTATGCCTGCATGCCAGAAGAGGACATGAGATCTCATTATAGATGGTTGTGAGTCACCATGTGGTTGCTGGGAATTGAACTCAGAACCTATGGAAGTACAGTCAGTGCTCTTAACCTCTGAGCCATCCCTCCAGCTCCCTGCTTAGAACCCAAGATCACCAGCCCAGGGATGGCACCACCTATGATGGCCTGGCCCCTCCCTCTTCAATCACTAATTAAGAAAATGCTCAGCAACAACTTATGGAGGTATTTTTCAATTGAGGCGCCTGCCTCTCTGATAACTCTAGCTCATGTGAAGTTGGCGTACAGCTAGCCAGTATAGTCATTTTTACACCTACAGAAATTATGGCAAATAGTTAACACTTAGTAATTAATTGTTTAATAAGTCAGAAGAAAAAAAATCTTGTTTAAAATCATTGAAGATTTTAAGTGTGTGTTTGAAAGCAACCAGTCATATAAATCAGCTTATTTAAACCAACTAAGGAAATAGCTGTGAAGCTACACTTTTAAATACATTAAGCAGATAGTGCCGTGTATACAATCAATGAAAATCAAGGCTGCTACACATGTGATCATGTTTTTAGTGAGGTATGATGCAATAATTCTAATAGTGTATGCTAATTGGTGTGTTATACTGGCAAACACTATACCTAGACCAGAATGGTAAATTAAATACATCTTACTTCTGTGAAGATTGGCATCAGTGCCATCATGATGTAAAACGGAGAGATGGGAGGCTTTATGTAATTGCAGATGGTGCTGTATACTTCTAAGACCCTCAGAAAGAACCTTACCAAGTAGTCAAAGGTTTCAGATGGTCTGTCTAGCATGATACTTGATACTATATCTATCTACCCTCTTTGGGCCCAGGCTCACATGAATAGCAAGTTAGCAGAGCAGGACGCCAGCTTACCTGGGTATATGCAGAGGCATGCTGAATTCAGACCAGATGCCCTTAACTGATCTCTGTTTTATAGTGTATAGTATGTCTGCTAGAGGACAGCATGCTTCACATGCATGTACAAATCTCTTGCTATTCTCAACCTACTCAAGCTAGCGTAGCTTGGATTTCAGGAATGCCGTGTGGGACTCTACATAACCATCTGGGATAGCTGAGCATCACAGTAATTGGCTCTCAAACCAGTTATAGATATTACCTAATCCTAGAAAATCAGGAAGTTCTGAAGAATGGAATGTGATGGAAGTTCTAAAGAATTTCTTTTAAATAGTATGTAGGGTAAAGGACTTTAGACCACTATCGTGAGGATATAATACAATAGATTTTAGATTTTTCTTTTCAAAGATTTATTTTTAAGAGAGTGTGTGGTGTGTGTGTGTGTGTGTGTGTGTGTGTGTGTGCGCGCGTGCGCGCGTGCGCATGCGCGCGTACATATATGTACACATAAGTGCAGTTGCCTGTGGAAGCCATGTGTGTTCCAGCCCTGGGAGTTGGAGTTACTGGTGGTTTTCAGCCCTCTAACATGGTGCTGGCAGTGGAACTCAGGTCTTCTAGAAAAGCCTTTGAGCTATTTCTCTTGCCCCAGATTTTAAGTTTTTACTGCTAAATTTCTTATTTAAAATATTTTTATGTTTCAGTTGTTGCTTTAAAAAAGTTGAAGAAATTTATATTTATCGAATGAAAATTAAAAATTTTTAAATGTTACTGGGAAACAGAAAAGGCATTATTTCATGACTTTTTTCCTTAACATAGCTTAGTTGTTTTTCTAAAAGGAGCTACAGGAAGTTTATATGCTGCCCTAGCCACAGTCCAAATAGAACACAGACAGTAACTTGCTCATTTTTCTTACTCATCTCCAAAGTCAACCACGGTTGGTATTGAGTTGTGAACTCCCTGACTGTTGGAACTGGATTATTTGCTTGAATGTGTGTTTCTGCCTCCCGTATTATGATAGCTGACACAGGATATAGTAGATGTTCCGTAAATGTTTATCACTTTTTAATTTGCTGTCTATACTCAGCATATTTACATTCTTTCATAATTGTCAGCAAAAGATGCTGAAATATTAAAATCAGAAAAAATTAAAGCAAATAATTGCTATTTTTTCCTAACTTTTCCATTTTATTGTCTGTAAGTAAATTGTATCATATAAATATAAAATGAATATTGTCAAGATTTGAAATAGTGTTAAAGATTTACTTATTTAAAAAATAGTAAATTATATGATTAAGGCAACAGAGATCAACACACACTGATTTCTCCTTTATTTCTGCTTTCATATTCTACAAGAGAAAAAAAAAAGCAAATAATATTTATAAAATTAATTTGTAATTTAATGCTCAGTATGGCTGACTCTGTGATTTATCCAAAATAGGCAAAAAGGACACCCAGCTATAGAGAGAGCCAAGCAAGTGGAAGAATTCCTGCAGCGTAAAAAAGAAGCTATGCAGAATAAAGCCCGAGCTGAAGGACATGTGGTATGATTTTTTTTTGAAATTTTTACCGTATTAATATTCAAAATTAAGTCCTAGAATGGTGTAACTATAAGTAAAAAGAATTATGATATAGCAGTCTGTGTACAAAAATATATATTAAAAATGTTTAAAAGTAATATAGATTATGGTTTCTCATATATCTTGTTTATTAACTTGTTTTCTGATGTCTTTTATCGATATCTTTTATACCAAAGGTGAATTTACATCATTATTTTACATTCTGTCTTTAAAAGGGGAGAAATAGGTATGACAATTAAATATTCATATCAGATATAGTTCTTATATTGGTGTAAATTTTCCCAATATTGTTTTTATTTTAAAGATTTCTAAGCAATAAAGAATTTTAGGGGAAAAGAGAAGAAATTAATATTTGCGAGAATATAAATTATATAATACTGTATTTGCTGAAAAGCATGTAAGAAACAAAATTACTTTAAAACATCAAGTTAAGCTAATTACAAAATTGTCATTTATCTAAAAAATATTAACTTCTGAGGTAATCATCTCACTAGTTGAAATTCTCAATAGTTCTTAGTTGTAGAGTGCCAAAATTTCTTTTAATCTTTTGTTCATGAAGCAACTAAGGATTGCTTCTGTCAGCTCACCTCCCCATCGAGCTTCCTGTTCATGTAAGAAATACTTCAAGGTATTTTTGTTAGGCTTATATGTATTAAAAGCCTATATTTGATAACTTTGTGATTAAGTTATTCTATATAAGATTTTTTCCCTTTAAGATTATATTATGAAAAAGGTTTTATTGGTCACTTTTTATATATTTTAACATATAGTCCAATTTACTTTCTTAATAATCTGGAATGGATCTGTATTTGTGACCTTCCTCTAGATATAAGAAAAAACTTTCTTGCTTTCTCCCTTTCTACAATCTCTCTATTAAAAGAATCTAAAATTTTGATTGCTTTTTTTTTAAGAGTTTTTAAACTGCTGTGTAGCCTAGGCTGGACTCAAACTCAAGATCTTTGTACCTGACTGAGTGCTGAGAGTAACAGTATGCACCACCATTCTGGTTGTATTTTTTTATTTAGGGTAGTTACTGGGAACTGCTGGAAAGCTGTCTCAGCAGCTAAGAGTGCTTGCTGCTCTTGTAGAGGCTTTAAGTTCTGTTCTTGTAACTCACATCACGTGCTAACAATGGCCTGTAACTACTCCATGGCATCTGACACGCTCTTATGGCCTCTGCAGCACTGCACATATTTGTAGACAGTCAGATGCATATCCTTGTAATTCAAAATAAAATTTAAAAAATCTTAAAAAGTGATAGTTGCTAGAACTATCAAGAATTAATGACTTTTCCCATCACTGTTTTGTCTTAATCCTGTGTTTCTATCAGTTTATTTTGCTTCATGTTGAAGAATTTCCTCTCTCTTTGTTTTAAAAAAGTACCTCTATTTTTCTTACACTTAAACAATACTTCGTAATGACTTTATCTTGCATTTATTGGTCTGAAAAACATTCTGTCTGTTTTTTGTCTTTTCATGTATATGTATGTATGTATGTATGTGTGTGTGGTATGCATGTGTTCACATGTGTGTAGGAGCACCTGTATATCTGGGTGTCTTTCGAGGCTGAAGACATCAGGAATCTTCAAAACAGAGTCTTTCAATGAAACCTAAATCTTACCAACATGTCTTGTCTTGCTAGCCAGCTTGCTTCAGTGGTTCCCTAGTCTCCAATTCTAAGCTAGAATTACAAGAATGTGGTTGGGTGTGTGTTTTTCCTCCCATCCCCAAGCTCTCAGAATAATGACTCGTTAAGACTTAAAATATATTTACAAATACATAGGCCCTATAGCTAGGTTCTTCTCTGACTAGCTCGTAACTTAAAATAACCCATTTATGCTAATCTGCATTCTGCCATGTGGCTGGTTACCTCTGCTCAGGTACCATACATCTGTCCTCCTCACATATTCTTGGGAAAATCTCTATCCCAGATTTTGGATAGCTCTATCCCAGAATCCTTTCTGCCTGCCGGATGTCTCACCTTCTATTCTACCCTTTCTTCTTCTTCTTCTTTTTTTTCATCAATTACAATTTATTCACTTTGTATCCCAGCTGTAGCTCCCTCCCTATTCCCCTCCCAATCCTGCCCTCCCTCTTCTCCCATCCCCTCCTCCAGTCCACTGATCATCTGACCCTACCCCATCAGGTCTCATCAGGATTCGCTGCATCTTCTTCCTCTGTGGCCCTTTCTTATAGGCCGTAGGCTTTTTACTGATAGATGATACAGCCATACAATACACAACGTAGTCTCTGGACAGCAGGCCTTTACTTGGAATATAGGGATAAAACTCTAGCTCTCTTGCTTGTATGGCAAGCAAGATTACCTGGTGTATTACTGGTTCTGAGGTCTTTCTACTCTGGCTGCTGGAAACATGAAACGGTCACAGTCTGATGAAGCCTACATTATTATTTGTTTCTCAGTGACTCTTAAGAACCTCATCATATTCCCAGCTTCCCTTCTCTGTGCAGCTTTCTCCTTCTTGCTCTTTGATCACAAGTTCCAGTAGCCTTTAGCTTGCCCACCTCCTAACTATGTCCCCTCAACTCAGAGGGACCATACAACTCTGTTCGGGTTTCTGCTCTTGTGCTGCTGCCCAGAAGCTCTGGCCAGACTTGAAATGGGGCAGTTATTGGGCTTACCACCCTTGCTTCTCCTCTCCCAAAGATCTACTCCATACTGCCTGTTATCCAGCATTTGAAAAGCATCTTTTCTTGTATCTTACCCAAACTTTTAAAATAATTTTAATGTAAATCTAACCACATTGCTCTGTTGTAGCTATAAACAATTTTTGTTTTTGTTTTCTTAATTTTCTTTCTGAAAATTTCATAATGTACACAATTAAACATGATTAGACTTATCCCCCATCACCCCTTAATTTCCTTTATATATTCCCTAACATACACCCTTTCCTTTGTTTTTTGTTTGTTTTTTTAAAAATAATCCACTAAATTTAGCTATTGTTGCCCCTATATGCTTGAGTGTGGAGCCCTCTAGTGGAGCATGGGAAACCTAGCCTCAATAAAGAATGAGTCTGCCTTCACCAGCAACCAATTCCTCACTGTTCCTCACTGTGGGGCCTGGAGATATGCACTTCATCTGTGCTTGGCTTCATTTTACAATAGGTCTTGTGTAGGTAACCACAGCTGCTATTCCTTTGTGAATTCTATAGCTATGTAATTCTAGAGCAGTAGTTGTCAACCTCCCTAATGCTGCAACCCTTCAATATAGTTCCTCACAAAATATTTTCAATTACTTCATAACTGTAATTTTCCTACTGTTAGGAATCATAATGTAAATATCTGTGTTTTCCAATGGTCTTAAGCAACCCCTGTGAAAGGGTCATTCTGCCCATAAAAGGGTCATGACCCACATGTTGAGAACTGCTGTTCTAGAAGACAGATTTCACATCACTTTTCCCCATCCTTTGACTCTTTCATTCTTTCTACTGCCTCTTCTGTGATGTCCCCTGAGCCTGAGCTATTTTTAATTAATTTATTTTTAATTAAGATTTTTCATACAATATTTTGATTACAGTTTTCTCTGCCCCTCCTCCCTATCTATCCAATTATAAGTGTTCTCTCACTTTCTCTCTCTCTCTCTCTCTCGCTCGCTCTTGATCTTTCAAAAAAATCAGAAAATATCTTGATCAGTGGTTCTGCTCTGTGAGGAAGTAGACATTTAAGGGTTTGTTTAATTTACACACTTGGTTGTTTATTTCCTATTGTACTGTAAGAATTCTCCTCTGTCATCTCTTTCACTGTTGCTAATGAGACACTATTTTTTGGATCATACTCCCCTTTAGTTTCTATTTGCTGATAACACTCAGGACTAGTCTTCTGTCCTTGATATTTTGAAACTTAATTGATTATTTTTCAATTGTTTTGTGTTGTTTTTTTTTATTGACTTGATACAGCTGATATATCACTGATATGTAGCTCTCAGTGCACATGTTTACCCTCAGTTCACTGATTATCTCTCTAAGTACTTGATTTTTTTTTTTCAGGAAAACTGTTCTCAACTGAGATTATAACTTTTATACTTAGTGTCCTTTCTTTTGTTCGTCTGTCTATCCTTTCCCCTCATTTCAGCTTTGTTTTTTCTTTCTTCTTGGTTTTCCATTTATACTTAGCTCTCAGCTCATAAAATCAGTTTGTTTGTAACTTCAAAAATGTGTGCTTATATGTTTGTGAATTCTAATTTTTTTTTTCCTTAAAACTTCTTCTGTTCTCATTTTCCTGGTATTCTTATTGTCCTTTCATTCTTGATCCATTGGCTCTGCTGCTTTGGTTCCTGCACTTAAAATTTGTTAGCATTGGCACATCTCAGATGCTCATTGTTATCACAGTGTGGGGACCTGTCCTGTGTACACTTCTCAGGGAGAACAGAATGAATGAGACTTACTTCTGGAGTTGACCCTCTTATTGTAACCATTCTAACATTCCATAGAGCATGCTCACACCTCTGTGATGACAGTCTTTCTGACATAATTTTTCTTCTGTAGCTTTCATACTTGAAGCCAATGCAGTCCCCTTTCCTTTTACTGAATTCCTTTTATCTTTGCCTAAATCCTTGCATGTTTTGAAAGCTAATATGTACTCTTATGGAAGGGCAGCATTTCTCTGTGTTCCCAGTACCACCCAGAAACAAAAGCAAAATCAAAGCATTTTTAATATAAGAATTTGTAGGAAGGGGATCTCTGATTTTTGCAACCAGAAATTGGTATGTTTGAGGGTAGAGAGACAGTTTAGCACTGACTTAGTATACAAAACACACTGAGTTTTATCTTCCATACCATAAGATTAAAAAGTAAAAGAAAAAAGTTTCTCCCTTGTCTTTTCTAAGTATTTGAGTATAGGTTAAAGTTACTTCCACTTGTGTTCCTAATTGACAAATCTCTCTCTCTCTCTCTTTCTGTCTCCTTCTCTCTCTCCTTCCCTTCCTTCATCTTTCTGTCTCTCACTGACCTCCCTCTTGCATACCTCTCTAGATGCTGTGGATATTGGTTTATTTATTTTTTATTATTGCTTCCTCATTTTAGCAGAATATATATTTAGCATACCTTTAATTTATCCTGGTATGTATCATTATGTGTTTATAAATATATATGTGTATGTATCTGTGTCAATGTATGTGTGTATGCATACACACACATACACAAAGAGTGGGGGAAGAGGTTTTCTTTGGTTCAGAATTTGAGAAGGTTCAGTTGATTATGGTGAGAAAGCATGGTGGCAGGAGACTGGCAGAATAAAGCATGTGGCAGCTTGCAATAAACAACATTAGCAGTCAGTCAGGAAGCAGAGAAAATTTGGATAGAATGGGACTAGACACTAACCATCAGGACCTGCTTCCGAGTAACCTACTTCACATGAGTCTTTGCCCTCTGTAGGTTCCACAGCCATTCAAAACAGCAACACTGAAGAGTGCCAAGTAGTCAAACATATGAGTTATGGTCACATTCAAACTGTAACATTCTGCTTCTGGCTCACATAGGCTTCCGGTCACCTCTTAATACAACATACATTCAGTAAGATTGCAGAAGTCTTCATGGTCTTACAGTTCTGCTGTTCTCAAAGCAATGCACAAAGTAAACATTTAAATTCCAACAGATAGGAAGGGTACTTGACTTCCCTTTCTGCTGCTGTGTGGAAAACTCTTACCAAAAGCAGATTAATGGAGGAAATACTTTATCTGGCTTCATGTGCAGGTTCGTCACAGAGGAAAGTATGGTAAGAACTCACACAGGGATTTGAAACAGAAGCTATGGAGGAATGCTGCTTGCTGGCTCCCAGGCTCAAACTCAGCCAGCTTCCTTAGACAATCAAGGACCACCTGTCTAGGATGATACCACCCACAATGGACTGGGCCCTCATATATCAGTTGATAATCAAGGCAGTCCTCTCATAGACATGTCAATGGAGCAGCCTGATGAAAACAATTATTGAATTTAAACTCTTTATGTGTTTAATTTTAGGTTATGTCAAAATGACAGTTAATGCTAAATGTAACAAAGTGATAGCAAGGAAAGATCCATCCAAAGTAAGACTTAAACTTAAAATTCCAGCTGGACAGTGGTGGCACTCGCTTTTAATCCAGCACTTGGGAGGCAGAGGTAGGCGGATTTCAGAGTTCGAGGCCATCCTGGTCTACAGAGTGAGGTCCAGGACAGCTAAAGCTACACAAAGAAATCCTATCTTAAAAAAGCAACACACACCAACAACAATAGCTCCATGTTATGTTCTGCAGGTTATGATAATATTGTCTCAGCTTTAACAGGATGGGTAGTCCTACTTATTTTGTAGCATGTAGGGCCTTACTCTTGGATTGACTCTATTTGGTGCCTCAACTTTGACATTGTAAACATTTCAGGTTTATGGCATCTCTCATGTCACCTGGTCTCCTTTGTAACTTGGGCTTTACAGCCCACTCAAGAGCACTTTTTAGTGAAGTTGGCCCTTCTGCATATTGCCTGACCTTAGTGGCTTTCTGGAACCTTTGTGTAAGACTATGGCTGTATCCAGTCTTGCATCTTGCATGCCTACAAACCTGGAATCAATTAAGCAATGACAAGTTCTGCTTCCTGCCTGAGATACTGTTTGGCCCCACTGCCTTATAGCTACAGAAAGCTCAGAGTGCCTCTCTCACTGAAACTGGGAAAACATTAATTAGAAATATTTGGAAAGTTTCCTTGACCAGGGACTTTCTTTTTAAATGAAAGTCTTTGAGATAGGTTTGCATTGTTACACCCTCATGCTTTTGATGGGGGAGGACTTGCTGTAAGGCATCTCCTGTTGTTTTACAGTACAGAGGTTTCTCTTTAGTCCTTTTATCAACGGTAGACACTGCTATATAACTTTAACCCTATTAACCTCCTTTTCTCAACAAACTATATTTTCACATCTTTCTGTTTTCTATTACAGTAAACTGAGAACAGTGAAGAGGAAGCATGCCATAGACTGACTGTTACATTGTCTTGAATTTTTCTTTGCTGATAAAATAATCCATTCCTTCCTAATCCATCTTAATCAAATTTTAAGGATACAAGCAGATTACAGCCAGATTTTTGCTGAATACAATATGATTGGCTTCTAGGCCCAATTACTAATAAAGTCCATATTTACCCACTGAAACTTCATGAGTCTGACCTTTACTCTCTGTGTCGTCCTCCCACCGCCTCCAGCCTTCTGTTCTTCCAAACTCCTGGCAGAATTTTCATCTCTGTTCACAGCTTTCTGGGGCTTCTTGAGCCCACAGCTACAAACCCTTTCACATGTTCCCCACAACCCAGTTCTGAAAGCCTGCAAACAACATGGCCAAGTTTATCAGTGCAACCATCCCATTTCAGGTACTAGTTTTCTGTATTACTCATCTCTCCATTGTGAACAAATACCTGACAAAAATAAGGAGGAGAGATATATTTTGGCTCACTGTTTCAGATGATACAGTCATCCTGGTAAGAAAGGCATGTGACAGCTGGTTACAAATTGTCAGTTGGCAGGAAGCAGAAAATGAACTCAGCAGTGATTGTTTTTTTTTTTTTAAGGAATATTATGGTTTTTTTTTTTCCAAGATAAAATCTGCTAATTCAGAATTCCTTCATTTTCTTAGTACCTAGGTATATATGTATAAAACTGCCTTAGAAGGATATGGCTGTGTGAAAAAAAAAATTTTTTTTTCAATATATTTGGGTAGATGTGTCATATAATGTTTTTACCAACTGACTAATTCAACAAGGCTGTTTTTAAGCAGTTTGGGAGTAGTAGAAATATAAAGATTAAGTGAGTAGAATTTATCTCTATAATAATTTGTAAGCAAGTGTTAGACAAAAATATGTATACTAGTGTATTAGGCATAATTCTCTAGCAAAGCATATAGAAACATTATAGAGTATTTATTTATATGAGGATTTGATATAGTTACAAATGCTGAAAAGTTTCTATATGGGAGTTTGTGAGCCAGGGAAGCTTGTCAGTGACACACAGGAAGCCAGAAACATCTAAACATAAGATATTGCTACTGTAGTCTCCAGTCTCCAGCACAGACTGAGAGTCCCATGGAAATTTAATTAGTTCAAATCCAAAGGCTAACGAACCTGGAGTCTGATGTCCAAAGAAAAAAGAAGTAAAACATGCCTGTCTTAGAAGTAAAAGTCAGAGAAACTGAGTGGTTCCCCTTTCTTTTTTGGAGGTCTTTTTAGAATTCTCCTTTTGCTCATAATTTTAGACTATATTTGGGGATGATAGATGAGATGAGATAAATAATTGTATAGCTTTTTTTTCTTTCCAATTATTTTATTTTTTTTTAATTATACTTTATTTACTTTGTATCCCCCCTCTAGTTTCGTCCCCCCTCCCCTCCCAATCCCTCTCTTTCTCCCCCTTCTCCACACACTCCCCTCCCCAAGTCCACTGATAGGGGAGGGTTTCTTTTTCTTCTTTCTGATCCTAGTCTGTTAGGTCTCATCAGGAGTGGCTGAATTGTCTTCCTGTGTGGCCTGGTAAGGCTGCTCCCACCTCAGGGGGAGGTGATCAAAGAGCAGGCGAATCAGTTCATGTCAGAAGCAGACCCTGTTCCCATTACTGTGGAACCCACTTGGACACTGAACTGCCATGGGCTACATCTGTGCAGGGGTTCTAGGTTATCTCCATGCATGGTACTTGGTTGGAGTAGGAGTCTCAGGAAAGACTCAAATTTTTTGGTTCTGTTGCTCTCCTTGTGGATTTCCTGTCCTCTCCAGCTCTTACTGTTATTTCCCACTTCTTTCATAAGATTTCCTGCATTCTGCTCAAAGTTTGGCCAAAAGTCTCAACATCTGCTTTGATAGTCTGCAGGGCAGAGCCTTTCAGTGGCCCTCTGTGGGAGGCTCCTAACTTGTTTCCTGTTTTCTTCTTCTGGTGTCCATCCTCTTTACCTTTCGGAGTGGGGATTGAGCATTTTAGCCAGAGTCCTCCCTCTTGATTAGTTTCCTTAGGTACAGATTTTTCTATAGTACAGATTTTAGTAGGTTTATCCTATATTATATGTCTATATGAGTGAGGATATACTGTGTGTGTCTTTCTGTAGCTTTTGTTTTTTTATTTTAAATTTTTATTAATGTGTGTGGTCAGAGGACAACTTAGTGGAGTCATTTTTCTCATTTACACCTTTACCTAGGTTTCAGGAATTGAACTTATGTTGTCAAGCTTGCATAGGAAGCATCTTTACTCAGAATAATCTCACTAGCCCTAGACTATTTTTATTGAAGCTTTATTACACCTTTATGAAGATTTCCAGTCATACTCTATTTCCAAATATGTAAACAGCCTTCCTCATTGCCAATAGTCTGTGCCAGACTGTACATTTGTTAGAACCGAGAAACCTAGACTGACATGTTATAACTGTCCAAAGTGCATCATTTATATCAGGGTTCACTTTTGTATTGTCCATTTGGTAGGTCTGTAGATACATGACGGCATGTAGCCACCATGTATAGTCACACTTTTGCCACCTTTTGAGGAGCTGCTTGTAAGTACTAGCTTTAGTAAGGATTTCATATAAGAACATACTTCTCATGATGCAGCCAGCCTTGATGAGACCTGATAGGCTAGGGTCAGATAGAAGGGGAGGAGAACCTCCCTTATCAGGGAACTAGGGAAAGGGTATAGGGAGAGAGAAGAGGGAGGGAGGGGAGGTGGGAGTGGAAGGAGATGAGGGAGGGGGCTGCAGCAGGGATACAAAGTGAATAAATTGAAATAAATAAGAACATACTTCTCAGGTCTCCACAGAAGTTTTTTTTTTTTTTTTTTTTTACTTATGATATAATTTAATCATAACAAAGTTTACCAGTGCTAAGTTTGTCCCATTGAATAATTGACATATACGTATAATCATATGTATACTGCTTTATCATGCTACTGAATATTTCTACCATTTCTCCAGTTTTCTTATACCTGTCTGAAGTAGATCACTCCCCTATCACCAATCTGCTTCCATTGAGTATAGTTCTGAGTCTTTAATTTTTTAGACATTTATTGAAAATTATGAATTATATAGTATACAGTTTTACACGACTCACTATTTAGATCAAATTGTCCTCTGTCTCACCGAGATCTGCCTGTCTTTGCTTTCCAAGTGCTGGGGTTCTAGAGACGTCCCACCACACCTAACTATGGTGCTGGAGAGGTAGCTGAGAGGTTTATATCTGGATCAACAGGCTGCAGGAGGAGACAGAGAGAGAGAGACTAGGTTTGGCTTGGGCTTCTGAAACCCCAAAGCCCCCAGTGACACTTCCTCCAACAAGGCCATACCTACTCCAACAAGGCCACACCTCCTAATAGTGCCCACTCCCTCTGAGCCTGTGGGGGCCATTTTCATTCAAGCCACTATACTATCAGTCAGTGGGATATTGCAGAGACCATTCATATTCTCAGAGATTACCTGAAGTACCTTGGTGCATGAGCCTTTCCAACATGTCTCTTACATATGAAACAACTGCAGTCTATGAAAAGAGTATTCTACCATTGCAGTTTCATTCTTTAAAAAAAAATAAGTTTCTGTAGCATTTCTAGTTCTGTCCTTTTTTATTTTTAAGGTACTGAGTGATTGAGGGTGAGACATTTTTGTAGTGAATATATACTTTATTTGTGTTTTTTAAAAAATCATATCAAGTGACGACTTTCTTTTAATAGTCTGTTTACACAATGACATAATAACATTTAATGACAGTATTATTTTGATATGCTTAGATTAGTTATAGTGTCATTTTGTTTTCTTTGTCTATTTTCCCTCTGGTTCTACTCTTGCTGTCTTTATTTTATCTGATTACTTTTAATATTCCATTTTAATCCATCATATAATTTTGATTGTATATTTATGTAAGTTTTCAGTAGTGATTGCCTCAAGGTCTCAGAATGTATAGTTTTATTTTCATAATGTATTTATAAACTATGTTTTGTTAATTGAGCAATGTTATGGTTAACTGTAGTTGTCAGCCTGACACAACTTAGAGTCACCTGTGAAGAGTGTCTCGGTGAGATATTGTCATTATTGGGTTGGCCTGTGGGCATGTCTTTTTGAGATTGTCTTAAGTCAATTGATGTGGAAAGGCCCAGCCCACTGTGGACAATATCATTCCCTAGGAAGGAAGTCTAGACCTCTATGATCCTAGGAATTAAGCTGAGTAGCAAGCAAATGAGCATGAATCGCTCTCTCACTCTCTCTCGCTTATCTCTTTCTCCCTCTTGCTCTTGCTCTGCTCTTGACTGTGGCTGTGATGTGACTTGCTACTCCAAGCTTTTACCACTGCGACTTCTGTACAGTGATGGACTATATGTAACCTGGGATTATAAGCTGGAATAAGCTTTCTCTGCTAAGTTCCTTTTTATTGGGGTATTTTATTACAGCAACAGAAATGAAATAAGAAAAACTGGGCATGGAAAAATGTTGCCACCATAGTGGTTCTTTTACCTTCTTCGTGCAACCAGGAATGTTAGTTGCTGTGTGTTGCTGGATTTTGAACCAAGGAATTTGCACATGCTGGACAAACATGCTGTCACTTAACTATACTTTCAGTCCTTGATTATTCCTTTCTATTGTCTAATATATTTAAGAACTAAGAGAAAAAGAACATTTCTCATAATTATTGTTCCCTTCTATCCAATTTTCCAAGCTGTCTAATTCTTATGTATTTATATTTACAGCCCCATCTCTGAAGAAATTCCTTTTTTAAAAAAAAATTATTATAAAGAACTTGTAAATAAAAAACACCGCTTAGCAAAACCAGATAAAATCTATCAGACACGAAAGCAGAGCCAGAGAGAAGTGATTCCTTTAGCAGTGTTTTGTTAATTGGTATCACTTTAATGAAATGGGTTTTGTTCTGTAGACAGGGAACCTGGACCTGAACAGTATCCTCCTCTCCTGGCTTCCCAGGTAGCTTGATGACAGGCATAGACCACTGTGT